AGATAGGTATATATAGAATCAGAAAATTCAGAAGCGTTAATGTATGCTTACATATAACGATCCTAATTTATAAAATAATTATATTGCCTATATAAGAATGGGAAGTATTAGTGATCTATATATCATAATAATTCTTGTAGTTTTAATTAATTTTTAATAAAATAATTGTTTTTAAATTCTAACATGGCTACTGGTCTTTTTAATTTATTAAACATCGTATTTTTTTTATAATATAATATTAAGAAATTTTGAAATTTTCTGTGATTAAAATTTAATTTATTGATTTTTTAAATTATTTTCAACTGTTTACTATTGTTATTAAGTATGTGTAAAAATAATAATAATAATTTTTTCCTTTAGTATCAGTTAACTATACATCATACAGTTTTTTGTAAATGCGAGTGCATTGAATAACATTAATTCTTTAGGGCCACTTTGACCAACTCCGCTTAACTTTAATCAATGATTAGTCTATTGATCAATCGCATCCATCGTTAAGTCAAATGACAAATATAATATGATTGGTCATTCCAATCTAATCGTCAATCCAAATTAATCAGAGTTGATCAAAGCCTTAATTGTAATATATACCTCTGCTTATTTTCATCGTGGCGCTTGCTCTCCGAATCTCTCAGCTCACTAGCTGTATGTATTTTCTGGTGCAGAATTGTTAGTGTTGTGCAGATGAAAAAAAAAACGTTACTAACGATAGTAATACTCATGGGTACGTAAAAATATAATGATTTTGCTATATTCTCTGAAACAAAAACAAATTCTTTGTATTACACTGCACTAATACATGTGGATGATACGTCCATTATTTAAATTAAAAATTGTTGAAAGGAGGATATCAATTTTCGAGGGTTTCGCGACTACTCGGGGATCGATTAATTTCTATGTTTTCTTATATATATTCTCCTTCGTAAAAACCAAAAATAATCATTATAATAACGTTAGACTTAAGGAAAAAATTGGTACATTGAAATGAAATGAATAAAGACATTATTCACTATCAGTTATGTCTCAATGATTTAGAAATTATTTCCAAATTGGATAAAATGTGAATAATATTGCACTACAAAATGTTAGATTATATTTTTCATTAAAACATTTGTTACAAAAAAATTAATAATGAAAAATATAAAAACTTGAAAATATGATAAAACACATTAATTAGAGCTTCCCAAATTAATAATTTTTTTACGAATCATTTTGTATTTTTAGATTTTATTCATATCGACTGTAATATTAATAACTGGCAACGAAAAAGTTTTCTTATTTAATTTTAATAGACCACGGGTTATTTTTGGTTACCTTCCCGGGCTCAAACCAGGGTATATGTACTAGATGGGGTGAAAAGTAACCTCCTTGACCGCCAGAATGCGCCACTACTGCAAAAAAGTTTATGGTGCCTTGTAGTCCGTTCATATTTAGACAGACATGCCAAGTGGCAGTGCGATACTGCCCTTAGTTTTATTTTGAGAGCTGATTGTTGTTGACGTGTTTGCGAAAACGATTTTCGTTCTCTCATAAAACATTATTTTTTGAGAGGCAAAACGGCAAAGGAAACAAAAGAAAAGTTGGATAAATATTATGTGGCTAATACTCCGTCAGATTACACCGTCAAATATTGGTTTCGAGAGTTTCGTGGTGGCCGCAACTCCACTACCGATGAAGTCCGCAGCGGCAGGCCCTCCGATGCGGTTACCGAGGAAAATGTTCGGACTAAAGTCGAAAGCAGACTGAGTCGAAAAGTCTCTGCCATTTTGCAATTTTCGCAATAATTAATATTTAGAGGACAGCAGGCCCCTTTAGAGACTCGACAGTCGTCACCTTTTTCGCCACTCAATGACATTAACTTATGACATTAACAAAAAAGGTCTAGCCTTTAAAATAAAAAAATCGATTAAAAACAGCCGGTTGTTAAAATATTAAACAAGATATGAATTATTAAAGAACACTATTATATCAAAATATTGATTTTATTCCAAAATAGTGGACATATTATTATTTAAATAATTTTTTATTCAAGTATTATCAACTTTACAGAAAAACAACTAGAGAAAACAATTTTTTATCTTCTTGTCATAAAGCTCTAAGAATTTTTTCAGAATTTTTTATCAATTTTTATGCATTTTCTTATTGACAACTATTTTTCCACATAAAAAAATGTAGTATTAAAAAATTCTAAAAAAATTCTCATAACTCTATAAGAAAAAAATAAATAATTTTTGTCACTTGCTGTTTTTCTGTAAAGTTGATAGTACTTAAGTAAACAATTATTGAAAACCAATATTCGGTGATAATTTTTATTATAATAATTAATATCTTGTTAACTATTGCGAGAATTTTCTCGTTATCAAACAGCCTATATTTATACATATATACACACATATATATATGTATATATACGAGGGCAAGGTGAAAAGTAACCGACCTCAATATGAAACATGAACATGAACGCAGTTTTCAGTTAAGTACCAAGTGTTATATATCAAATTACTCGCATTGAAAATATCTATAATTTCTCCTTTGACCACTTTGCTAAACAATTCACAGCTAAAAAGTTATAGCCAAAAAAACCATAAGAAGAAAAAAAGCAAAAAACGAAAATTTAAGAAAAAAAGTACGACTTGTTGTTGAAGATGCCGCCATCGAAGTCAAACTTTTCGGTATATATTCAAGTGTTATATATCATATTGCTCACATTAAAGGCGGCTACAATTTCTGCCTTGACCATTTTTCTCTACAGGTTAACATAGGCTCGGTAGGCTTATAAGTTGCTGCGGCAGATTTGAAAAAAAGCGCTAACATATTTTTTGACTCTAACTTTTTAGCTATGAATTGTTCAGAAAAGTGGTCAAAATATAAATTATAGATATTTTTAATACGAGTAATTTGATATGTAATACTTGGTACTTAACTAAAAACTTTGTACATAGTTCATGTTTTCATGTTGAGGTCAGTTACTTTTCACCTTGCCCTCGTATATATGTGTGTATGTATGTATAAATATAGGCTGTTTATATATATGCGTGTGTATAAATATGTAAATATGTACATAGGAGATGTAACTTTATCACTTTCGGTCCCAAATTCGAATAAAAAAAAAAAGGATATCGTCATTTATCATTGTTTTTTTAAATAAGAAAATTTTTTCGTTGCCAATTAACAATATATTATATTACAGTCGATATAAATCGAATTTAAAATGATTCGTAAAGATGATTAGTTGGAAAGCATTAATTGATGTATTATCGTATTTTCAAATTTTTATATTTTTCATGAGATTATTAATTTTTTTATAACAAGTATCCTAATAAATATATAATCTAATTAATATTTTATGATGCAATATTACTCGCATTTAATCCAATTTGGAATCAATTTATATATCAATAAGGCATAACTAACAGTGATTTTATAATGATACGAATAAGCACTTTATTCACTTTATTTCAATGTATCAATGTATGTTTTTCCTTAAATCTGGCGTTATTATACGATTATTTTCGATTTCTACGAAGAAAAATACATAAGAAAACATAGAAATAAAACAATTCCCGAGTCGCGAAACTCTTGAAAATTGGTACTCTTTAATCAAGATTTCAATTAAATATTAATTTTCTGCTAGCGTTAATATTTGTCGTTATCACTTACCACCGTACCAAAAGCGTTTTTCGCAAATTTCTGGTCGGATCAAATTTTCTGGTAGATTGGGAATATTATCCATAATGGCGCAGAAACCGTTGAGAATGATAGTAACTCCCCATGCATAGCTCGAATATATTATAAGCTTCTTTCTTTCATAATGGTTTCCTCCTCTTCGATGCGAACGGAGTTCTCTATAAAATGCAATTTATGTTTAATCAATAATAATTAAATTATTATCCAATATATAATACATGCGTTTGAAAATAAAAATATTTTATTTCTCTCTTTAAAATTAAAGCTTTGTGAAATAATAATCATAAGAACTTACACACAACACGCACACTTGTATATCCCTATAGGCGCATAATATTATTTAATATCAAGTAATCATATTTTAGACATATTCTCTTACAATATTAAATGTAACATTTTAAGCATTTAAAGCACGATATATTCTTAACTTTGTGAAATCGAAATAAAAAAACTCCATGCATTCTATTTCATTTATTTTTTTGCAATATTCAAATAATTTTTTAAATTTAGATAATTATGAGAATTGATTATAAAGTTTAAAAAATCTTGTCGCGCAGTGGCAACAACAAATGTTTCAATGAACACTATAATTCCTAATGCCCGCACATTGGACGCGAAAACACTTGTCGCACGGCAAATGTGATGAAGTAACTAGTAAGCTTACAGTTCCTAACATTTTCATTGGATACTGCGTTGGATACTCGCATTTTGCGCGCGGCAAGCGTTTCTACGTCCAGTATGCAGAAGCCATAAATTAATGGAAATAATCATATAAAGTATAACAATCATATAAAGTATAATTGATCTATGTTTCCACATGTGACAGCAGTTCAATTACTCAAAATGTTTTTTAACGTCTCTCTATAACAATGCTGCAAGATTTGTAAAATCTTATATGTATCATATATTATAATACAATTCCTAATACATATCATTTGTAGCGATATTACAGTACAATCTGCAATATTGCAACATTTCTGCAATGTTACAAGTTTCTGTACTGTGTGGGTAAGCATGTAATATTACCAGGAGTGAACATATAACCATCCATTAAATTTTTTAAAAATATTATTTAATATTATATAATTTCAGTAAAATATTCTTCAAACGTTACGTTTAATATTCTAGAAATATGTTTAAAATATTATTAATTTAATATAAAATAATATTCCTATACATCACAGAAACTTGCAACATTGCAGATTACGCTGTAATATCGCTATAACAATGTAGAGATCAGGAATTGTAATACATAATACATATTACAGAGCAAGATTTTACAAATCATGCATCATTGTTACAGAGATATTAAAAACATTTTGGTTTTTGAGTAATGAGCTGCTGTCACATATGGAAAGATCAGTTACACGTATAATTGTTATAATTATATAATTGTTAATTATTTCCATTAATTTAGGAATTATAATGTTCGTTGAAACATTTGTTGTCGCCGCCGCGCGATAAGATTTTTCGAACTTTACAATCAACTTTCATAATTTTTTGAAATATTTAAATTTAAAAAATTCTTTAAATATTATAAAGAAAATGAAGTAGAATGCGTAGAGTTTCTTATTATTTCCATTTCATCAGTTAATGTATAAAATAGGCGTAGCTGCATAAAATGTAAAATATATATTTGCGAAAAAGTTTAAAATGTATATAATACATACACGTAAACTTTAAAATATATCTGTACATAAAACATTTGCAATTAAGTATAAAATATAATAATAACTATATAAAACTATATATAAAATTATATATAATATAAAATATATGTTGATTAGTTTTTTCTGCATTTTTTTATTTATATCACGAATTGTCTTTCATATTATATTCAATAATAATAAATAAATTATTTTTAATAATAGTTACGACATTACAGCGCACAGTTATAATATTGCTACGATCTTACAGCGCAATCTTGCTGAAGGCAGACATTTTTATAATGCTATGACATTGCATAGCAAATACATTGCGCAATTTATTTGCAATATTATAACATTGCAATGAGATATATCTGTAATCATTTTGCAATCTTTCTGTGCTGTATGAGTTACGTGCCTATAGGAATAATATATACAGTGTGGGCCATCTATTGGTCCGTTTTTAAAAATGCGATCAAATGAGCATACATTGATATTTTTTATTAATTTTTTTTTTGTTGTGAAGCTAAAAGTATCCGCGTCAAGAATGAAAAACGATTTCGTTCATGTGGCTCCCTCTACTGGCCTTACAGTATGCCATTCGGTCACCCCAATTATTAATGACATTTTGGACTACCTCGGCGCCAATTTCACTCAAAACAGTCGTAATATAATGTCATCCACTAACATCCCTTTCTCACGAACTTTCCTCACCAATTTGCGTATAGCTCCTTCGGTGGGTGCTCTATCACGACCCATATTTCTTTTCAAAATTCGTACAGTTTCGGCGACACAGCACTGACTTTGAAAATAAGTTTTTAAAATTTCAAAACGCTCTTCAAGAGAAAACATGTTGTTTCGTGCCGCGGACGGTATGACTAATAAACTGTCAAAATTTCGGGTCTGTAGCTCGTTCGGTGTTGCCATACGACGAAATTCAAAAACGTACCAATAGATGGCCCATCCTGTATAAGTCGTAGTAGTCGTAGAGTCTTAAGTCGTAGAAAATTAACCGGAGAAAATCACAGTCGGATATGAAAAGAATAATCGACTATGATTAGTCAATTTTCTACTACAGGGTGGGCCATCTATTGGTACGTTTTTAAAACTGCGATCAAATGAGCATACATTGATATTTTTTATTAATTTTTTTTTTGTTGTGAAGCTAAAAGTATCCGCGTCAAGAATGAAAAACGATTTCGTTCATGTGGCTCCCTCTACTGGCCTTACAGTATGCCATTCGGTCACCCCAATTATTAATGACGTTTTGGACTACCTCGGCGCCAATTTCACTCAAAACAGTCGTAATATAATGTCATCCACTAACATCCCTTTCTCACGAACTTTCCTCACCAATTTGCGTATAGCTCCTTCGGTGGGTGCTCTATCACGACCCATATTTCTTTTCAAAATTCGTACAGTTTCGGCGACACAGCACTGACTTTGAAAATAAGTTTTTAAAATTTCAAAACGCTCTTCAAGAGAAAACATGTTGTTTCGTGCCGCGGACGGTATGACTAATAAACTGTCAAAATTTCGGGTCTGTAGCTCGTTCGGTGTTGCCATACGACGAAATTCAAAAACGTACCAATAGATGGCCCACCCTGTATTGTAAATCCCGCATAAGATTTGAAAGTTACAGTACTGTCAGCATTAGTATTACGCAAGATGTCCAGCTAAAACCTCTTGAATATTATTCAGAATTACGTTCTGGATAATATTTATCAAGATCAAGGCCATTGGAGATTATTCTTCTTATTTTCATTTTTGCACTGAAAATTCATTTTACGTAAATTCCATTGGCCTTGTCTTAACATATGTTATCCAGAACATGATCTTGAACAATATTCAAGAGATTTTAGCCATCAGTCAGACGCCTTGCGTAATGGTAATACCAATGGTATTGTAACTTTCAAGCCTTAACTCGAAAAATACTTAATGAAAAATAACTTTATCAGTGTTTTGAAAAGCTCTTGACACCGCTATTAGATTCTGGCATCAAAAATAGGATATTCCATATATTTTTTTTAAAATCGATGTAACCTTGACCTGATCTTGACAGCGCCACCCAACTAATAAGATCTTTTTGAACTTTATTTTTTTGAATTTTTACCTTTAACGTTTTTTTCGATAACGCTTTTCTGTTACGTCGACATAATAAATTTAAATATTATTTAAATCAAGTATATATGTATATTTAAATATTTGTTGCTGCCGCGTGACAAGATTTTTCAAACTTATAATTAACCCTCATAATTATTTGAATATATGGATTTAAAAAATTCTTTAAATATGGCAAAGAAAGTGAAATAGAATGCATGGAGTTTCTTATTATTTTCATTTCACTAGTTGAATATATACAATATAGGTGTATCTGCATAAAGTGTAAAATATATGTCTACATATGCAAAATTTTAAATATATATATACCTTTAAATATATATATATATATATATACCTACGTACAAAAATAGATAAGGGAGAATGAAAGAACTATTTTTTTTCAAAATATGAAACAAAATGTAACCTAGTGTTAAGCAAATATAGTAGCTTTCTTATTTAAGTGTACTCATTTATTGTATATAAGATCTATTATGTGTATAAGATCTTTAACAGAAAAATAATATTTAGTCATTAACAGAGATTTAATCACCACTTTTCATGAACAAGAAATTCAGCTTTTTCAAAACAATGTGGTTTTGAAAAAATCATTATCTGTTTTAAAAGGGCCACTGAATTATATAAGCTTTAATGCATATAAAATTAAAATGTCATCCTTTAAGAAATATTGTTTTAAATATTATTTTAAAAAATTAATAAATATGTGAAAAATGAAAAATATAATATTTCTAATTAAAAACATTTATTGCAAATAGAATAAAAATTTCCCTTATTGCCACATTAAGTATGAACCCAGTCAGAATACAATTTGCATTGATACCTGTCTAAATTACATCAGAATAATATATTAAACATAATAGATGATTGAAAAGAGTGAAATATGAAAGTTGAGTCGTAAAATGTTTCAGTATAGTTTAACCTAGTAGCATCATAATCTAGAATCAAAATGCTGTTTTATAAAAGTACAGAAATACACGAAAATCTATTCACTTATAATAAATATGTACAGGAATGCTTCTCAAAGAAGGAGACTGCATCTAAAAATAATCTTGTATAGAAGTGTTCTGACAGAATCATATATTGATGTATTGACCAAGCGAACGAAAATGACTCGACTGATCATCAGTACGATACATTTAAAAAAAAAATTACTGACATACTAAAATTGCCTGAATTGTACTAAAAAAAAAGTAATATACAAGAAGGGCAAAGAGCCAATAACGTATAAAAGAATTTTAATTTAAATAAGCAAAATTAATACAAAACAATTATAATAAATAAACGTTTCAACTCCAATCGAGTCATTTTCAATGTAATCTTAAAATATATTAGGTGTACAACTTTGCTTCCGCCGTTTTCCTATAGATGGCTTTGGCGGTAAGTGATCGAAATAAATAGATCATAGACGTCATACAATAAACTTGGGCATCTGTCAACATAAGAATTAGAAACATTAGTTTTGTGTCTGCATCATAAAGTTATTCTCGATTGAAAATGTCAGTTTACGAGCCAAATTCTCGTCATTTGCGGGAGGTTTTAATTTTCTGCTTCAATATGAAGAAATCTGCGGCTGAGGCTCATCGAATACTCTCAAATACTTATGGTGAGGTATTAGTGAAACCGCTATTAGTGAAAGAACGTGTCGTAAGTGGTTTCAACGCTTCAAGAATGGTGATTTTGACGTCGAAGACTGGCATAGCCGAAAAGAGAAGGTTTTCGAAGATGCAGAATTGGGGGCATTACTTGATCAAGACTCGTGTCAAAATCAAAAAGAATTGGCACGATCATTGGGAGTGACTGAACAAGCCATTTCAAAAGTCATGGGAATGATTCAGAAGCAAAGAAATTGGATGCCGTACAAGTTGAAGCCGAGAGATGTTGAACGGCGTTTGTTTGCTTGTGAACAGCTGCTTGAAAGGCAAAGACCGAAGAGATTTCTGCATCGCATTGTGACTGGGGATGAAAAATGGGTTCATTACGATAACCCCAAGCGCAGAAAATCATGGGGAGTTCCCAGCCATGCTTCCACGTCGACGGCCAAACCGAATATTCACGGCTCCAAGGTCATGCTCTGTATTTGGTGGAACCAGCTCGGCGTAGTATTATAAGCTGTTAAAACCGACTAAAACAATCACAGGCGATCGAACGCAAATGATGTAGTGATGAATCGAGCATTGAAAGACAAACGGCCTCAATACAACGAGAGACACGATAAAGTGATTTTGCAGCATGACAATGCTCGACCCCATGTTGCGAAGTGATCAAGACATACTTGGAAACGTTGAAATGGGAAGTCCTACCCCACCCGCCGTATTCAGATGTTGCTCCCTCTGACTATCACTTGTTTCGATCAATGGCACACGGCCTGGCTGACCAGTACTTCCGGTCTTATGAAGAAGTAAAAAATTGGATCGATTCGTGGATCGCCTCAAAAGATGACCAGTTTTTTCGACGCAGGATTCGTACGCTGCCCGAAAGATGAAAGAAAGTAGTGGCCAGCGATGGACAATACTTCGAATCATAAATGTATAACCAGTTTTTTACAATAAAGCCTCGAATTTCAGAAAAAAAACGGCGGAAACAAAATTGTACACCTAATGTAAACATCGTTCATCTAAATTAAAAATGCACATGGTCTTACAATATTATTATAATTCCTTAATATCAAATTTTTCATTTTGTGTAGTACAGTGCGAATAATTTTTATCAAGAATTAACAAAGTCATAAGAAAATCCCGGAAAAGTAATCGTGAACAAAAAAATTTCACTGAAAATTTTTCAGCTAATATATTGAAAAATCGCTGAAGTTTTTCTGAAGATAAACTGAAATTTCTTCAAAATTTTGCTGAAATTTTGCTGAAAATAAATTTTTTCAGCTAAAAAAAAAACGGCGTTAAAAATCGCTGAAATTAAAATATTTTTTAAACACTGAAATTTTGTTGAAAAGTGTTCTAAAACGTGAAATAATTTCAGTGAAATTTTCCCACCAGGGTATAATCATGAGTGAAGTGAAAATGTGTGCTCATTGAGAGCGGCGCTCTTACACACAATTCAATTGCACACATCAGTCACATTGTCCCGTTCCTAATAATTTTTCACTGCTTCACTAATGAAATTATATTATTTTAACTTAGCCAATTAGTGATGTAGGTGATTGATATGCACCCGTGCTCATTTCTCGAACACATTTTCGTCACGTTCTGCGCAGTAATTGAAATCCGCCATTTTATACTCACATACATAACGACTACTCACATATAGCAACTGTTAGTTTAAACATCAAATTTCATTTAAAAAGCGTTTAAAATTAATTAAATTAATTTAACTAATATTAAATTAAATTAATTAAATTAATTACGAGCACACCTTATTATTTCCACCGTGCATATAATATTATAACATATTACTCACCTAAATGTCCACCAAATATCGAAGCATGTTACATTTAGCCAAAAAAAACTCGACAAAAAGAAGAAGTTGAAGATATATGCTGAAAAGATAAAATTAAATAATGTGTTAATCATCAAGCATATATTAGAATGACAATTGTTTATAGTTTATAATTATTACTATATCTATTTGTGAGATTTTTTTTCTTGATCTACATATCTGCAGCATTGCAAAGTAAAAAAAAGTGAATTTTGTTCAAATTAAATGCTTCACTGTATAATTTCTCTATTTAAATCGGAAAATTATCTACGTGCAAAAATGTGACTCAAACAACACGAAGTCGACTAAAAGTCGACTATAAGTTGACTGAATGTCGACAATAAGTCGACAAACAGTCATTCGTGTTGTTTGTGGGAAGTTATTGTATATGTAATGTATAATTCAAAATTTAAATATTTGTCAAATATTATTTTATATTATTTGTTCTTGTAAAAATTTAATAATTTCCATTTTATTGAATTATTAGAAAAACAGAAATAAGTACACCTAGACTACTAATTTTATATATTATATATAATATAAATAAGCTACATATTATTGCATTATTATATCATTCCAGGCTTACTTTAAAAGTATCACAACTTAAAAAATGTTATTTTTTAGTTATTTATATTATGAATAAATTAGATAAAGATTAATTATCTCTATTAATTATCAAAAGTAAATTAACTTAACAGTTTGTTGCTAAATAGCACTTGTGTCTCTCTCTTAAGATCTTCAAAAAAATTATAATCACCTTCTAAAAGAGTAATATATTTTGAATTGTACTATTTTTATAAATAAAAAGAGAATCTTTTACAAAAAATATTTAGAATCAAGACAGTTTTAATGATCGAAATTTGAAGAAATTGTTTTATTTTGAATTTAATCATTTTTAGAGCTCTGATCAAGATAAATACGAGTAAAACTGTTTAATAATGTTTTGAGTTATGTCAGTTTTTTGATAAATTATTCGTATTTATATAATTGTAACAATTCGTATTTGTTATAATTTTATAGGACATCAACATCTTCACAACTTAAAAAGGATATAAACAAAAAGACCATATATGTGAGAATACAACCAATATGAGTTAGAAATTAAATGCCTATATTAGAAATTAATGCCCGGTCGAAGCTGGATCTTTAAATAATTCAATGTGAATTATATATATATATATATACGAACTTATAAATGTAATTAAACTACTGCAATAATATCACGAATTAAATTAAATTGACAAGCAATTTGGTAATTATTTAGTATAGGAGAGCACTCTCCGATGACCTTGACTTTGACACATATGTGATTAAGGTCATGATCCCAAGTGACCTTCAAAAAGTTTTAGTTCGTGGTCGTCCTTCGTTAAAAAGTTATTAATAAAAAAATATTTCAAAATTAACGTATTGTTTCTGCTATTTAAAAAGAATATTAAATACTATTCTACATAGGTTTTGACTTTCCACGCGAAGCGATTCTCACTCCTCCTCCTCCCTTCCTCCCTGCTTAAGGGCGCACGACTTCTATAATTGTACTGTTGCATGTGGGTGCAACTTTCCTGTCTAGACTCATCCCTTTTTGATAATTAACAACTTTGATTGTTAATAACTTTTTAACATAGGACAACCGCGGGCTAAAATCTTTTGAAGATCATGACCTTGATCACATATGTCAAGGTCAAAATCATCGAAGAGTGCTCCCTATACTAAATAATTACCACAATTTTTTTAAATTTAATGCTCAATCAGGAGTCATATTATAAAGTTGTTAATCTGTTGGAAAACAGTAAATACAAATTTATTGCAAAAAATATTACCTCTGGGAATAGAATCGGGTGGATCTTTTGTATACAAGCGTCCTGAACCTTTAGACTACCGAGGCAATTTTATATATATATAATTCACATTGAATTATTTAATTTTAAAAGAACAGTTTTGTTGCGAAAACAAAATGGTAAAAATGACATTTGATCATGTTTTTAAATATATATTTCAAAGGAGTTTGTTATTGTTTGATTGCATTATATTATTTGATTATTAGTTAATAATTTCCTGTCAAATTATAAAAAATAGTTTGTCTCCTTTTTTGAAACTTAATTTTTTGAGTTGTGTCATTTTTAAAATAATATGGGACGATATAGTTATATATGCTGTACCTAGTGCAACGCAATATTTTAATTCAGCTAATCCAGAAACTTGTTGGCCAGGATATATAATCGCGTATGTGATGAATAATGAACCCACGTGTGCACGCAATGAATAACCATGTATATTCCGGAGTTCTGGCAATATGGAATATACTATGAACGTCAACAGTAGGAACGGCAAAGATAATAAGTGGCACGCGGATATATATACTGGAAGTCTTGTCTGATCAGTGCAGGCGATCACGTCATATACATCCCGAAATAAAATGGCAAAGCAATAAGACTTTGGTGAAATGAATTCGCCAGTATTCATATACAAAGAGCCATCGGTGAGAAACAAGTATGTATTGGCAAAAACAAATCTACGACCACGTCCTTGTGCAACGCATGGATCATGAACAGTCAAAAATAGTTCGTCAGATATTTGAGATGATTCCCCGGAATCATTCTTCTGTTTGTTTGGAAAAGCGTACGTATCCTCTCCATGTTCGACGCATTGTCCCTTTACCGTCAAGTTATAACCATAAGGACAACAGAACTGAATGCAAGTAATATTATCTTTGCACTCTTCATTTTTAACAAAGGTAGTTTTCATTGTTCTGTTGGAATCATCGTATTTGTATGATATGGAATTGTTCTTGTCTTCAGTTTTGGTGAAATTTTCATTAATTTCTGGTAACGTGAAATTATCGATCTCTATCGAATTCGTACAGAACTCCATAGATGTCTGATTATTGTCTTCATGATTTTTTATTATATACTCACGAGACTCATATCGCATCGAGTCATTCTTGCAATTATTTTTTGTAGAATTAATACAAGATTCATATTGCATTTGATTTTTATTCTTAACAGAATTTTCGTGATTTGCACCGTGTGATTTGCACCGTGTTAGTTCCGTCTCTTCATTTTGATATTTCGTAGAATTTACGAAAAAATCATACTGCACTGTCGAGTTATCGCTTTGCTCATCGCTTGACGCATCGTCCCTTTATCGTCAAGTTATAACCATAAGGACAACAGAACTGAATGCAAGTAATATTATCTTTGCACTCTTCATTTTTAACAAAGGTAGTTTTCATTGTTCTGTTGGAATCATCGTATTTGTATGATATGGAATTGTTCTTGTCTTCAGTTTTGGTGAAATTTTCATTAATTTCTGGTAACGTGAAATTATCGATCTCTGTCGAATTCGTACAGAACTCCATAGCTGCCTGATTATTATCTTCGTGATTTTTTATTATATGTTCACGAGACTCGTATCGCACGGAATCATTCTTGCAATTATTTTTTGTAGAATTAATACAAGATTCATATTGCATTTGATTTTTATTCTTAACAGAATTTTCGTGATTTGCACCGTGTGATTTGCACCGTGTTAGTTCCGTCTCTTCATTTTGATATTTCGTAGAATTTACGAAAAAATCATACTGCACTGTCGAGTTATCGCTTTGCTCATCGCCATTTGTAAAATCTTCCTGAAATTCTGAGAACGAAGCAACAAGCAGAAATGCGAAACAAAGTACAATACTTGGTGAATACATCGTTAAATTATTGAAGCGTCGAATTCACAAAATCAACTTGGTTTTTTTTTGTATTGTAAGTAAATATTTAACGTGATATTGTCAATTCTGGAAAGAAGCACAATAGCTTCATTCTGCAACGTTTTGTCTGAAAAATTAAAAAAAAGAGGTTCTTGGAGTAAGCATGCGAAGTTAGAAAGATCGATGACATCAAATGAAGAAGGTATCTCGCAAAGCAAGTACTTTCATGGCCCTTCTTTGACCATGAATAACGACAGAGTGACAAGAAAACTTTTGTCTTTTTGAATTTTTTAAAGAATTAATTTTATCTCTAGATAGGTCCAACACGATTTCTTTAGAATATGTTATATAAGTAAAATGATTCATAAAAAAGTGTTGCAGCTAGAAAGCGATATATCTCGATTTAATAATTAATTATACGCGAAAGAGAACAGTTGTATTTGTTTAGAGAGATTAATTCCACGTATTACATGGTGGTTTTTATCCTAAGCTAATACAAACAAATATCAAAAATATATACATATAATGTATAAAGTGATATTAAGATATTCCTGTCGAATCGATTGTGTAGCTAGAAGTGAACAGTTTAGTTCACTTCCAGTGATAGATGGAACGAAAGTAGACAGTATTAAACTACACACCAATTACACCGAAAATTTATAAATTATGAGCTGTATTGACTATAAATAAATAAAGTAGAATTAAGATTGAGTTGTTAATATTACTTCTTCCATTACATTTTATATAATGCTGTAGTACTTGAATTATGATAGTCACATCGATTAATATACATTAATCTATTAAATTTAAGTTCCAGGATGCAAATTTTTTATAAAGTCTTTAGCTAATTTTCTCTGTAGTCATTCCATATTTATGACTATTATTCAAGGATTTTATTATCATACGCAGCGTATACACAATAAGAATTGTATAGTATAATTACTTTGCTTCTATATCCGGTTTTTATTAACCGGTTTGTATTAAATAAAGAAATTTATAAGAAAAAACATTCTTTCATCTATACTCTTTTACTTATTTATGTATGTTTACACAATGTCGTAGTTACGTTGTCTAGTTATAATAAAAATAAAGAAAAAACAATTGTCCTATAAGATAAAAGTAATTAATTTAAGTGATACGTGTTATTTGAGAAAAATAAATACAGTTTTTGTATGATAAATGATACGGAGTTGATGAGTAATTTTTATTTAATAAAAAAAACTTTGTAAAAAAGATTTGCATCATTATCATCAAATTAATAACGCAATATATTTACGCAATATATATTATGTCAATATTTATTGAGAATGTCTGGGAAAAAATGTTTTATATGTAATTATATAAAATTATATAAAATTATATATAATTTTATATAGTTGTATATGAATGGACACATTTTATATATAATTATATACAATTGTACATATATATTTATATATGCAGGGTGTCTGGAAATAATCGCCAAATATTTCATGAGCAGATTGAGAGGAGTAAACTGAGTCGAAAAGTCCTCTACCATTTTGCAATTTTCA